GCCTTCCGCCGCTCCCGGCCGGAGCAACGAGACTCGCGGGGACGGGACGATCCGGAGCGACGCTCCCTGCGGCGCCGCAGCGCCGAGGGAGCAGCAGCCCGGGTCTCGTTGCTGTTGGGCAACCAGCCTCGGATGTTATTTTTAACTGCCTGTAGTGAAGGAGCATCTATCCACAATGTAAATACCACCTAAAAGGAGAGAGAGGTTTGCGCCTTAGCGAAACGCCAGTGCAAGAGCTACATGTGTCGTTGCAGAACGATGCTGCCTTAGCCCTTTCTCCTCCGCTAGCCCTGGGAAAGCGGGTGGCTTCCTCATCCCCGCCCCGTTTCTTCTAGGAGTGAAAATGGGACTTTTCTAGGGAGCTTTCCGGTCCCGGGCTGTGCCCAGCACGGAGCCCCCAAAAGGGACAGGGCCCTTCGGGTGTCGGAGCCGAGCGGGAAGAGGCCGGGCAGAGGCCGAGGAAAGTTTGCTGCCCTCCCTCCCCCGTCCTCCCYGTCCGCATAAAGCCCTTCCTGACAAGGGAGGGAAGGGGCAGGCTGCAGGGCAGGGGCTTCCCTTTGGTCTCAGTGTGTGTTCTGTAAAGTTGTGACAGATTATTAGTAAAGGGAGGGGTTTCACAGTTTGATGAAGATATAACACACTCTGCACTATCCATCCTCGGGGCCCATTCATCGCGAGCCGAGGCAGAGGCGGCAGCTTTCTTCCTCTCGCGGAGCAATTCATCACGGCGCCTGAACCGGGCAGCTTTGGCCTCCGTCCACCCGCTGCCCCGGCCCGCACTCGCCCGCCGAGGGGCTGGGACCGGTTCCGATGGCCCCTTTCGCTCCCCACCGCTGAGCCCCACAGGGCTATGGGAGCAGGAATATAAAGTCTGGGAGAGGAGGGCAGAGAGGAGGTGTAGAAGAAGCAGGTGGGGTAGGGAGAGACAGACGGACACCCAGCTAGGGAGACACGGACGGGACGAGGATGCTCTTACGGCAGCCTTTTGTCTGGGCGTGAGTGATCCTCGTTGTTTGTCATCGCGGAGAGGAGAGGAAATTAATTGCAACCAATTAATAATTAATCCCGTTTAAACAGCTTTATTATCAGCCACGAACTAGAGGGAATTGGTCTGATAACCCCCCGAAGACCGAATGTCAAGTTTAACCAAATAGTTATTGCTTTATCAAACAGAGTCTGCAAATAAATTAATCAAAAGCAAATATGTTCTTTGTGAGGCTCATTTGCCGGTAATGGATGGATATGAAGATTTGCCGATATTATTGTCTGTCATTCAGTCTAACAAAGTGAACATTTATTGCATATATATTAAAAATTATCCCTTAATCGAGTGGGGCTGTGGTTGCAGTTATTGGAGTCTTCCCAGAGGTGAAGTCCCCTTGGATAGGAGCGGGGAGGGCTGCTCTTCGCCTCCCGTGCGATTCCCTTCGGAACATGTTTCAAAATTGCTTTAATCCACCGCTAAATTGAGCTGTTTTACTAACTGTCCACGATATCATAAACAGTTTGAGGAGCTAATGGACGAGATGTTATAAAAATAGTGGACGTAAGGCACAGAAGAAGCGATATATTCGCCCAGGAGTGATGGCCCGGGACCCAGCCAGGGAAAACAAGCCCTCTTTGTTTCCTCCTTGCTTACATCATTTTCTAATTAGGCATAAAATCGTCTTCATACACTGGTATCTCTGGCTTCATAAACATAACCATTATGGTTCATAAGGAGCCCATTGTGCAGAGTCCCTCTCAAAATAGAAAAAGATCTGGAGCGACCTAGAGAAAAAAACATCCCCTTTGTTTTCTCTTTGGAGGAGACGGATGGGCAATGTCACGCAGATGATGACTTTGGACTATTGCATTGTCAGAAAGGAAGAATTTCCCTATTAATAAAGGGTTTATGTAGGATGCGATGAAGCTGCGCCCGAAGAGCGGCACCAAGTCCGCGGGCCGCGCGGGTGCGGGCGGCCGCAGGGGCAGCTCCGACCGCCCTGACCGGTCCGGCCCGGCCCGACCCGGCCCAACCCGGGCGGTGGGACCCGCTGACCGCCCGTGCGGTGGCTCCGTGCCCCGCACACCGGAGCGGCCCGTGCGCGGGCCCCGACGGGGCGGGCAGCGCGGCCGGTGCCGGCGCCGCCGGCGGCGCGGGGTAAATGGATGGAGATGGATGGAGCCGCCTATGGCCCCCGACGCCGTGTCAGCCCCCGGACAATTACTGTCTCCAGAGGGATGGACAGACTGACTGACACTGACCTCTGCCCACGAGCCCACTGGCGGCCCCGAGGAGCTTATGTGCAATTTGCTGGATTTCGTTTACAATAACCCGACTTGACATAAATAACTCTCCATGCTGTGTCTAAGCCCGTGTGACCTCCTGAACCAGCGCGGAAACACTGCTGTATTGATCAGGGGCGCGGGGGGGGGTCTTTTTTTTTTTTTTTTTTTTTTTTGTTGTTTTTGGTCCGGCCGGGAGGACTCGAGCGCACTTTGTTCCCCTGAGCGCACTTCGTCCCCCTGTCGGGGCTCGCGCTTTGTCCCCCGAGCCGGGGCGCCAGGACCGGCCAAGACCAGGGCTCCTCACGGAGGTCAGACCATCCCAGCGCTGTGACAGGTCTCTGCTCCACCGGAGATTCCATTTTTTTTTTTTTTTTTTCCCCTCGAAGACCGTTCTCCTTCGCCTACCTACGTTCAAAAGTGGTGGGAGCCAAGTTTCATGTCGCGACAACGAGAGCCGAATCAGGATAGCCGACACACCTTCGGCCATCCCGCACGATCCCGGCCCGCTCCGAAGAGCTTTCCCAGGCAGGAGGAGGCCGGGGCTGTCGGGTCCAGACCCAGCAGCATCTTCATCTCCGACATTTTTTATCGAGTCAAAAAAAGCCCTCACCTCACCCCCTCTTAAAAAAAAAAAAATAAAATGCACTCAGGGCATTTGCTCCCACCGCCGGATAAATAAACACGAACGAAAGTAAATGGGGGCTGTGGGGAAGGAGCTCCCCAGTAGAGGCCTTGCAGAGCGGGGCTGGTGTTATCCATTTAATGTGACATATGGAAATGTCTCGGCGGAGCCACAATTAAAGGAGCCGCCCCTCCTCCCTTTATTCCCCCCAACTTTTGTGTTAAATGTTAACAAGCCGCTGCCATCCATCCCGGCTCTATTACCAAGTGAATGTTGACTCCAACACCGCCTTCCTTTCCGCCTATTCTGGGGCTGCCTCGCACGTAGATTTATGTATTTTTGATATTAAATTCTTTCTATCATTAAGCCTGCTCTCTTGTTGACTTTCATTGACCCCTGCCCTTGTCCCCATACTTTTCCATATTTAATACTGAGCATTTTTTGCCGCTCTTTGTTACCTCCCAGTTGACTGCTGTCCCTAATGGCATGTGCTATTTGCTCTGTTGTTGAACTTGGTAGGGTCACATAGTCTTGTGCTGCGATATCCTCCGCATTTCCAACCCTGCTTATCCCGGGGAGGCACCTTGTGCGACAACCTCTCTTTTTTCACCCCCCTGGCTACCAGGCTTCCTAATGACTAAAGCAAACACCTTCGCTAATGGTGGCCCGGGCTCCGCGCTCCGCGGGCGGTTTTGTTCGCCTGAACTCCCGGTGCTCCGCGTGTCCCGGTGGCAACGTGGCCTCTCTGACCCGAGACATCGCAGCTCCGCTCCTTGGAGCGGGCTGCCCTGTCCAGCGCCGCCCGGGCCAAAGGCCAGCGTCCTGGGAGCGCTGCGTGCCACCAGCTGCTGGAGGTGACACCCAGTTACAAAGAGGCACCGCCAAAGGAAACGGCGGCTCACACGGGCAAATGAATGTGCCCATTTATCTCGTGGGACTCGGCGCTTCGCGGCGCGCCGCGGCCCTGCCGCTTGGCTGGGGGAGCGGCTCAATCCCGGGAAAGATTGGCTCCCTTCTCCTCGGCCGYTCTGCTCAGTATCATTATGTGAGCAGTTTTCAGAATTGAAGTTGCCTGGTGTTTTGATTCTTCCCTGCCTGCGCACTCGTGCCCTGGAGGTCCCTGCGAAATGGATGCTAATTGTCGGGGCCGCACATTGCTGCCTGCTCAAATGCCCCAGAGCTCGCCGGCCCTGCTCCTCAATGCCTTAATTGACAAGGACTTGTCTGTATTTAGGAGCAGCTGGTCCAAAGCATTGGCACATCAGTGCAATCTTAACACAGCATCCCTAGCCTGGAGGAGTATGAGGGTAAACGTGGTTAAAATGAAGGAAGATTTATCGTCGGCCCCCGTGGGTAATGCGACAGGAGACAGCTACCAAGATTTCCCCTAGTAGGGGTTTCATTCATCAGCTCCCCCGCCTTGGTAACGTGTCTAGGAGCCACGTTCCAGCTATTATTAATAATAGGAGGTGGCCGTTTAGGACAATTAGGCAGGTGACAATACCGCGCAATATTCCGCATCCCTGAGCAGCGCCGCGGCCGCGGAGCTGCCCCCCGCTCCGCGCCCTTCCCGCCGCGGCCCCTCCGCAGCCCGCGGTGCGGCGCGGAGCGGGGACGTTGCGACACGCAGCGCGTCACGCGTGGCCCTGGGAAGGAGCTTCCCGCTGCCGTGAAAACGGGCGGCGAGGGCTGCGGAGGCGCGAGCCGGGATCCCACGGTGCAGTGCAGTCACCACCCCGATTTCGAGTTTAAGGCTCCCCCGAATTTCGGGGACAACGCAGAGCAGACGAAACATATCTTTTCTTTCCTCTCCTTTAAGCCTTCAGCTCGTGAGATTCCTGTTTATGCGATTTAAACATATCTGATTTCGAAATGGGAACGACTCTATCTATCTATCTATCTATCTATCTATCTATCTATCTATCTATCCATTTTGCAAAGGTTTATTCAGCCTTTTACAAAGAAGGTTTATTGCATGGCTTCAAACTAAGGATTTTTTATTGTTGTTGTTCTGTGTGTTTGTGTTTTTCTATTTTTTTAATGTGTGGGAAATACTTTTATGTTCACACAGTTCTGCCCATGAATAGGGATAATAGCTTCGGGATGCGCATTGAAATTTGAAGTTTTTAAACAGAAATTCCCTAACTTTTGCTCGTTTTCTCAACTTTTTTTTTTCCCTGTAGGAACAATGCCAACATTGAAGCCCTCTGTTGGAGTCTGCACAGTTGGAGATCTTTGGTGCCGTTTTAGACATCTTTGGATTTCATCAATCAAACTGACTGCAATTTTCCATAAAAACCCTGAATTTGGGTCAGAAAGTGGGCAAAGCAGATAAAGATCATTCGAGCTGTCTTATAAGATGATAAATAGATATCCTTTCAATCCAACAATGCAAGAAGTGCAGTTTTGTAATTCACTTCCATTGGTTTTGAATGCAGTGAGTCGAAACAATTTATACATGTTTTCCCATGGTTAGAAGATGTCTTTACATAGTTGTCAATAGTAACTTGACCTTTTTCCCCACTGAGCTACGAAGTGGTGGGTTTTTTTCTCCCTTCGAGGGTACAGAAAGGGTTGGGTTAGATTTTCCTCCCCCTCTCCATCCTTTAGCGACTCAATCAATAGGTTATTTCTTCTTATTCSGAGCTTTAAGCAGATGGTAGGTAGTTCACCCAAGCTGTTGAGAGGATGTTTTGCTCCATGTCGCCTTGAAAGCAGGCGGCCCAAGTCGGGTTTTACACAGACCTGTTAGATTTCCTTAGACTAATGCCCGAAACTGTGAGCTTAAAGCCCGGGAAGAGCTTGAAGCCCGGGAAGAGCCTCAGTGGCTCCTGTCCGGTTTTACCCCAGTAACATCGTCAGCACCAGCTGTGGGTCTGGAGGAGTTTTGCAAAGCGGCTGGCACTGGTCTGGGTCTGCAAGAGGGGGGAACTGAGGCACGGAACGGCAGGGGAACCGCTACGGGAGCGGGGCTGTGGTTTTGCCTTTCCTCCCCTCGCCTCGCACACAGCAACGCTAAGTGCCGAGCACTCGCCGCTAATGGATGGTGACCTGCGGTGTGCAGCTGCCTCCCATAAAAGCTGCTTTTACTATTAATTGCATTTGCAATGTGAGCGCAGTAGGTTTCTAAATGAAGCCCCGCAGAAGGGGCAGCGCCCGCGCTGCCCGGGCACATCCACCCTCCCGGAGCGCCTGGGCCCTTCTGCAGGGCACGCGAGGCCCCTGGCCTCCCTCCCTCTTTTGCGGCGACGAGGGGGYCCAGCTGCCCCACAAACCTACTGGCCAATTTGCAGGGAACCGCATAGAAAGGCTGGGGGAAACCTGCCAAGGGTCAAAGCAGYTCCCACCACCGCCACCCCACGGCCCGTGGGCTCCCACGGCGGATGGTTTCACATGATCAGCGCGGCCCACGCACCTGCTGATGGGCGCATGGGTGACTTTGTCCCGAAGGGAGATCGATACCATTTGAATGACATTCCTAGCCACTGGCTCCAGCGGATTAGTGATCCAACCGGACACCCCGTTAAAAGGCTCGTTTGCGCTSAAAAATTTACAGTTACCCATTTTGCAGCTGAGCGGGCTTTGAGAAAAGGAAACAACACTTCCCATCCTTTATTGTTTGAGCCCCGTTTCTCTAGCCAGTTGCAAGCGGTCCCGGAGCTCACACCAGTCCATAGGTAATCCTGGCAGGATAAGCCCCTCTTTCTCCCGGATGGAATAGGGTTTGGGAGCAGGGGAGGCCGGAGGAGGCTGGATGGGGACGCACGAGGCGCCCGGGCCTCGCGGCTCTGGATACACGAGGGCGAGCCCGGGCTGAGGTCGCCGGGGCCCGGGCCGGCCCGGGCGAGGCTGGCGCTCCCGGTGCATGTTAATGAGGCGGCGGGAAGCGGGCGCCGGTGCCGRGAGCCGGGGCAGGGGGGAACGCGCGCGGCCGGGGCCGGCGCTGCCGCTCACGCCGGCGGGGGGCTCGGCTCGCGGCAGCCCCCGCTCCCCGGGCTCTCAAAGCGCCTTTCAGCCGCGCTGCGGGCTCCTCACCGGAGGAGGCTGGAGCGACATAAAAGCGCATTATGAAAATTATAATATCAGGCCCAGAGCATGTCCGTGGAGGCAGCCCGGCAGCTTTCAGGCATTGAGCCCCCCGTTCAGCTGGGCTGAGCTGTAAATATCCATTTGAATTCGGGGCCTGAATGGAGCAGCAGCAAGAACAACAAGGACCAGAGCAACAGAGCCCCCTTTATGCCCCCCCCCCCAACTTTCTCCTGCTTGGTCATTCCTTTCCTGTGGCACCTTTCTCGCTTATGGGCAAATTCAAGGGCTTTTCTTCCCTTTTATTTTTTTTTTTCTTTTCTCTGAGTGAGAAGGGGGGAAGAAGAGCGGGAAGGGCCCGTGTCCCTCGCTGCTTTCCTCCCTGCAGGACGCTCCTGGGAGCCCGTGGCCCGTCTGGTCGTTGTGCCGCGGGCACGTCCCGATCGCACAGAGCGGGCCCCCCCGCTGCCCCGCTCCAAATGCAGGGGAAGCCGCCCGCTTCCTCCTTGCTTTAGCCTCACACGGCCCCAAAGCCCGCGGAGAGAAAAGGTGCCACCGCAGGGACTCTCTGCGAGGGGCTGCTTCGGGCTCTYGGTCCCTCAAACCCCAAGGAGCCGGGGAAGGGGGTGGAGTGGGGAGGGGGTGCCTTGGCAGATATGATCTATGGAGGCAGATGAGCKGTCCTGCTATTCAAAATATTGCCCATTGTGTTGGTAATGGCCCGCTTATGACTGGAAGAGCGYCTTTAATATTAATCGGGGCCTCGGAGCGCGCGGTTTCCTGGGCGCTGGGCAGGCGGGCGAGCAGCGCAGGTGTTGGGGCAACCTGGGCAGGCGGGGGCCGCGGCGAGCAGGTGCTGGCGGGGCGAGCCCGCTCCGCGCCCGCGAACAAAGGCCGCGTTCGCCCCGCGTCTGCGAGCATGAAGAATTGTTTA